CTCTCGTGGCCGACAGCACCCAAGGGTGTCTCCAGAGCCGCTGGTTGAGCAGCGGCCGCCTCCCCGCGAGCCCAGCCGCACTATGCTCAGCTGCCGCGCGAGGGCGAGCGAAACACGCCGTTTGCGCTCTCCCTCCTCCCTGATCCTCCCCGCTCCTCCCTCTCTGCCCTCCCACCCCGGGCCGGCTCAGCCGCCTCCATTTTCCAGATCTTTCTCGAACCCGCAGCTCCTCAGGCAGCCGTTGCCCGAGCGCTGACGGAAGCGGCCGAAGCCGAGGAGGGGCGCAGCCTCGGGCGCGGAGCCGCGGCTCGAGCGCCTCCCCGGCGGCCGAGCGCGCAGGCGCAGACCCCAGTAACTGCCGGTTGGTGGCGGCCGAACCGCAGTGGAGACAGACCCCGGCGGCGCAGGCTGCGGCGCGGCGGCCTGCACTTCCTCCGCGGTTGCTCGACGCGGTGCTCTAGATTTAATGCGTAGCGACTTCGGGTCATCTCTCCTTTGCTTCTCGTAGGAGTCTCAATTCCAGGAGCAGCAGCCCAGAAGAGGACGCGATCCCCGCACGGGAGGCTTCAGCACTATCGCCCCGGTCATCAGGCGGCGGGATGTCTGTGGTTGGCATTGACCTCGGCTTTCTCAACTGCTACATCGCTGTAGCGAGGAGTGGCGGCATCGAGACCATCGCCAATGAGTACAGCGACAGATGTACCCCGTAAGTGCCTCGTCTGGTCGTAGCCCCGGCCCTAAGAAACGTTTTCTCCGACCCTTTGCTTGGTCCCGCCTGCTGCCTTGGGATGCGCGCCGAGCCCTGAGATGACAGGTGCAGCCCACCAGCTGCGGTCTCGAGAACCCGCTGGTCGGTGAGCCCAGTTGGGGGTCGGGCTGCCTGCTCCGCGAGGCTGCTTTCCCTTCAAGGGCCAGGGACTTGGCTCTGATAGTTTGCGCATTTTTCCATTCTGTACCCGCACCCCACACCTGGTTCTCCACCAGCCCTGCTTTGCTTCCGGAAAGGGCTTGGTGTGGGACCGCCTCCATGTCCCGAACATTGGAGAAAGACCTCTGATTACTTCTAGTGGAGCTTAGGGATTATCGGCCGCGCGGGCGGGCATCCCCCGCTAGCAGAGTGAAGAATTCCACATTCATTCTGCCCTTCCTCCTCTCCTTATCTCTCTCTGCGTGACAGCTCTCCTGCAGAACAGTAACAAATGGAATCTTATGAGTTAGAGGTTCATCTGGCCCAGAAAGCCTGCCTGCCTTTCTTTATCTTTTCTTTTTTTTTTTCTTCTTTTCTCTCTAAGAGGCGATGGAGGTGTGCAGGGCTTTCTACACCAGTGTCCTTGAGAATTCAAGGTAATGGGACTGGTTTCCAGGAGCGTATGTTAATGAGTGGTGCATTAATAGGGAGAGAAATTAGGGATGAGAGTCATTGGCTTCTTGTATTGGTGAGGTGCGTCCTTTAATGGAAAGTGGTGGAGTTGGAACCTATCAGAAGTGTTTTTGTACAGACTGAATTGTTGGAGAGTCGGAGGCGACTGTTCTGTATAAACATGACTGTGGAGTCATTCTATTATGAATCTTTGATGAAAGGCTTAAAAGGAATGGCATTATGTCATGGAAACATGCTCCCACATGTTCTATTGTTTCTCTGGTCTGGGAAGTTTTTTGGCAAAGAATATAATTAAGGCAGGGATATGAAAAATTGGATTATTGTAAGCTCCTGTTACAGGTAATTTTATGAGGAAACCAACTGTTCATGTCTTACTTTTTATGGAAAGGTAACCATATTAATTTGACTCCTCTGAATGGTCCAAAATACAATACTTTTAATATAAGACTAATCTTAACCAAGATCATTGTTAAGCCTTTAAATGATTAAATTACTACAATTCTATGAATAATTTTTTTTAATATGTCCAGGATATGTTGAAGAGTAGCTTACTTGAAGCAGCTTGTGCTTTGGTTTCTTTGAAAGAATATTCTGGAAGGTTTTATATCACCTTTTCCAGATTTATGCATTATATTTCTATTGAAATTTTGGATCTTTATATTCTCATATATGAGCGTAGGTCAGTTAATCTTCATAGTACTATTAGAACTCTTGTTTTTCCTTTTTACATCTTTTCCTGGTTTTTATGCACAATAAGAGGCTGAAGCAGTAATTGTGAACTGTTTGTAACTTCATCTCTATAAGATTTGTTTTAAGCCAAAACAGATATGGGCTTCTTCCAGAAAAGAACCAGGAAATTTCACTCTCGTTTAGTAGAGGTTAATAGGGGCAGCCTTTGGCTTTAGGGACTTAACCTATGAAGAAAAAATGAGAGGTAGGATGGACATTCTCCTAATCCTTAAAGCTTTATCCTGAAATATCAGATACCAGAACTGTAAGACAAATACTGCATTTCTAGACTCTGCAATTCTAGTAGTGAGTGCATGACTCTTTAAAGAGCCTGGCTAGACTTACAAAGAGTGTTCTTTAAAAATTTGGCTGCTCATTCCAGTCCTCTAACGTTCTTTTTATTGCTATTCTTAGGCACATTGGCTAATTCTATGTGGCTGAGATTTAATATATTTCTGATGTGTGTGTAAGAGTGTCACTACTAATATCTAGGTTCAATGAGCCTAACAAACTAGAAATTTCCTAAGGTGGAAGGATCATATTCATAATTAGCTTTTATCAGAAATTCTGCCTTTCTTTCCCTGACTATGTACTGTCATTTACCTCAGGAATGTATCTTTTATTCTTATTGAACTAATATTAATACTTCACTGTAATCCATGCTCTTACACTGTTTTGTTACTTTGTGGGCCTTAAATTTATATTATAAGTTCAAAATGTCATATTGTATCATATAATTAACATTTCTTAAATCGTTGAGTGAAAAAAATACCCATTCTGATCCCTGGATACTCATTTATTGAATGCCTATCTAGCAAAAAAATATAACTATTACAGGAACTAACATTTCTAATAAACCACACTATTTAATTATATATACATATAAATATAGCTTTACAAAAAATTGTTTTCCATATTTCAGTTGCTGACATCAAGATACTAGTGACACAGATATTTCTAAGATTCAAATACATTATGAAAGGATCCTGTGGAAAAGAAGAAAGAAATATTCAATTTTATTGGTTTTTGGCATCTATACATTTTCACATTTGTTTCATTCTTTAACATACCTGATTATGTATCCTTGGGAGGTTACCATGTATAAACTAAGAAGGACAGTTTAATGAAAAAGGTAATTGCATAAGTTTTGGCCTATAAATTAAGGGACCAAGGACAAGTAATATAACCTGCTAGTTCTTCAGATTTCACCTTCTGTAAAGTTGGAGTGCTTACATCCCCAATGTCCTTCCATTATCCATTGGTATAAGGATGCTGTATACAGACTACGTTAATGGGGATGTAAAAATTAAAGGGATAAATTACGTGGCAAGGCAGTTATTATACAGAGACGTATCTTTGCTCTAATATCAGCAAATTCATCTATTTTTTGCTAGCTTTTAAGAAATTATTTTTTTAAATGTCTTATTATGCTTTTAAGTTATTTTAAGAATATGTAAAGTCTTATTTTTAAAAATTCATAAAAAGGATACTAACGTGTTAGTATAAACATGATGGCAAGCAGGGCGGAAGACTATAAACAATTAACATTGGAGGGTATACTTTTAATACATAGTGTATAATGCTTTGAATTTTTATGAACATATTTTACATTAAGAAAATGGATTTTTTGAATGAAAACTATTTCAGGAGATTTTTGTTAGGTGTATTGCTTTATCAGAATCTTGTATGATCAGACTTAATATTCAGTTCTCTGGTTTTGTCTTTTCTTTTTCCCTCTTGATTAGTGCATGAATAATCTGAAAATATGGGAAAATATTTAAATACTGCATTTCAGATATGTGAGATGTTCTTTTCAATGCTAAAAAAGTAGAAATCACTTACTTGAGTATTAAAATTTTTTATACATCAACAGTGCCAAACTTCAGAGGTTATCAGTGGCTATAGTTGGGTAGGAGGACTTTTTATGGTGATAGAAGTTTAGGGGGAGGGAGAGACTTTTACTTTAATTACATATTCTTTGTACTATACGAGTTCCTTTGGTTTGTATGTTTTACTATGAGCTTACATTAACTTCGATTTAAAATACTTTAAATGCTAAAGAATTACATAAAATGACTCTCCCCCTTTGTCCCTTTCTAACCACCTCTTACAATTTAGTGTGCATGTTCCTAGTTTGATGCAAGTACGTGAGTATGTATATATAACCCAGATGATTTTCTATTCTTTTTTTTAACAAAAGTAGAATTACATTATACATGGTTTGTGATTGCTTTTCTAAAAAAACTTGTACATGTAGCTCTAATTTATCTCATTCTTTTTAATGACTGTATACTAGTCCATTGATAGATACACTGCAGTTAGTGAAAAGTTCACATTATTTCACTATTAACAAACAAAAATTCAATGAACATCTTCACTTTTTTTTTAATCAAATTGTGAGATGAGTGGAAGGGTAGATGTCTCACACTTTAGCATTCTAAAGCTAGGACTATAAAGTCTTTTAGTATGAATATTATCTATAACAAAACAAAATATGCAACAAAACAAAATGAATCTACAGTCATTGCCTTAAATTTGTGGGTGGGAAACTCTTAAAAAGTTTCTGGAAGGCAAGGAATGATATGTACAGATTACATGATATCTTAGTTTAAGATGTTTAACATACCATTGGTCGTCCTTGTGGTATGTGGTTACTACAGAACAAAACGAGTATAGCCGTGTTTTGATAAAACTACAAAAATAAGCGGCAAGTCATAATTAGCAAATACTTGGTGTAGGCAGTCATAATCAAAAGAACTTTATAATTGTGTACTATTTGTCTTTGAAATGGTGGATTATAAAATAATCAGATTTTCAAATAATATATCTGATCTAATAATATTGTAGTTAAATAATATTTAATTTAATGTATCTAATTCGCTTGTTAAATATTACGTCTACTGATGTAAATGTGTGATTTCTTTTAATGGTTTCAAGTTATGAACTAATTTTATTTGTGAATTATGCTTACTAAAAGTATTTGGAAGCTCTTAAAGAATTTTTTGTTATTTCTATATGTTAAAATGTTTATCCATTGTTCATATTGCAAGATTGGAAAGTTTTTGTTATTACTAAATATATAGGCCTACAAGTAGTCTTATTTTTCTAAGTAGCAAGCTAGAAAGTAAATGGCAACAATAAGCCTTTTGACAACACTCCTCCACCCCTTTCTAGGGCAACTTTTGTCCAGATAGCCAAGCTTGGGAAATAATAAGCAGATGCTTTCTTTAGTGCAGAACTTCTCATATCCTTTAATGTGTTTATATCTATTGAAACACTCCAAGAATGTTTTTCCCAGCTTATTCGAATGTCTATGGAACTATGGAACTATTGTTCCATAGAACAATAAATGGAAAATGATGGTATAGGTCAGTGGTTCTCAACTAGAGGAGATTTTGCCCCCTAGAGCACATCTGAAAATATCTGAAGATATTTTTGCTAGGAATGCCACTGCATGTAGCAGGTAGAGGCCAGGGGGCTTCCAGACTCTGCAGTGCACAGAATAGCCCCACTCTTTCAACAAAGAACTGTCTGGCCCAAATTATCAGTGCCAGGGCTGAGAAATCCTTTATGGATATTTTGGCAACCATAGTTGAAACTAGTTTGTGCAGCCAAACTGGCAATGTGAGGAGCTGACCCCTTGATTTAAACCAACTGATTGCCCTCTCATATCATTATTGAGTTATTGTATTTCTTAGAGTCTACTCAATGGTAGCAGAAGACCCTATAAGTAGTAACTGATCTATTTTTAAAGTATAAGTGGTAAAATCAAGAGATTTTGAATCCATAGCGGAGATTAACAAAGAAGCAAACACATTTGGAGCGCTGACCTCTTACGTGAGAAGTGTCTTTAGTCTGCTAGCAGTATGTGTTGTCTCCAACCCAGTCACGCTCGGCCTTATAAAAATAGGCTTTATAAGAGAGAGAGAAAAAAAAATCTTAAATTTTAAGGGAAAATACAAATATAACTTTTTTAAAGTAACATACCATCATTTGATATTTATACCCCTTCTCTACCAAAAGTAACAAAGGGCATTTAGAAATTTTGCTTGCTTGTTTGGAGTTCTGTGACATTCTCTAAGAACCTGGGACCACTGCTGTGGTGGCAACACCAGATTGGATATCATAGATATAAGCTGCACTGTAAACATTCCTTCTCATTTGTTTTAGGTATAAAGTGGAATTTCTAAATAGTAGTTGAAATAATCTATAAAAGTGTAATATCAGTGCATTATATGATATGCAGTTTGATAACAATTGAATATACTTTTCTATAAAAACATGCACCTAATATGTAGTATGATGTGTCTATTTCCCTTGGTATTACTGAAGTTAGATGAAAGTTTTGGGTGAAAATAGGTATTCATTTCAATTTTTCTGAAATCCTTGGCACAGGTAGTTATTTAATGGTTGTGTCCTAGAATTTTTTTGACAGAAAATTGAAGGAAGAAAGGAGTTTGAAGACCATTAGCTATGTGAGGATGGTTTTCTGTGTGTTGGAACATTGAGTATTTCTAAGCTATGACATAAAATTTTTTAAGCTTTAAATATCTATTCATAACTAAAGAGAATATCAGAAAATGTGAAAGGATATATGTGTGAAGCATATTTCAAAGAATCTAGCACTTAATAAATGATAGTTGAATCAGTCTTATTTGGATCTAATGTTCTAACAGAAGTTAAGCTTTGAGAATCAACCTAAGAATAAGATTTTCTATGCACTCAAGTGATGGTCTAATATTGAAAAATTAAAAGTATTCAGAAATGTGTCCAAAAAAATGGAGTAGCAAGAAAGATTATAAGTAGGCCAAGAGATGGCAAATCCATATTTTCTCTGATGAGTTTTAGGATGGAATGTCAACCATCCACATGGATTGCCTTAATTGGATATGTAAATATCTACTCTGGCAAAGACTATGTTGGATCTGGGAATTATTTGCAAGAAATGTGAAGATA